TTGAGCAATATTAGACATCTTTTCTTTTCTAAGTGTTATCATGGCAAAACTCACTGAAATGAAGAGTGCAATGGCATAAATGCAAGAGCAATTGAGGGAGTAAATGCTTGCAATGCATCAAGTCAATTTACCACCACAAAGAGCAACAAGATTAACATGAAGTGAAGATATAGAAATGATTGGAGCTGCTTCAACATCTGCACCAAAGCATGTCCCTTCTCCTATGGTGGAACACCCTTCCAGTATTAGAAAACCAAGAATTGCCCTATCCAAGAAGTTTGATCGAAGCAGATCAAAGTTTAGAAGATTTATCAATTAAGTACAACTTGTGATTGAACTTCAATTCCAAAGCTATCCAACTCCATGATCGCAAGTTAAATTCATTGGTACGCTTCTTTCAAGTTTAGCATTATCATGGTTTTTTATCTTTTTTTGAATGAAAAGATCCAATATTGAATAATCTAGAGGCTTTTTTGGTAGAGTTTCTATCCATGTATGGAAAACATGATGCAATTCGTGTTGCAACCAATAAGATCTATACTTTGCAATAAGGCAATCAATCAATAACACTGTATGCTTCACAATTTTGACAACTTGCAACTGATATCAAGTGGAATGATGCTGCACTTATTAGCCAATTTTTCTACTGATTACAATATGATGTAAAAAAATTAATGCTCAACTTACATGATCCTCAAACATTGAGTCAAGCAATTGACTTTGCTGTGAAGTGCGATATTCATCTTTTTGAATTTCGATCTCAGAATCGTACAAGTGGACCTCAATATTACTATAAATCAATGGCAACACCAACATCTCTTCAACACATACATTTGGAAGTAGAAGATATGTAAATTGATGCGGTACATTTCAAACCTCTTATTAAGCAAGAAAAGACTCGTTGTCCTCAAGAAGGATTGTGCTTATATTGTAGAGAATATAAGCGCAGTACTCAACATTGTCCAAAGAAGCGACGCAACCATAAAATGAAGAGTACGACAATCAAAGAAGATAGTATGTTGAAAAATGAATTTGTTCAGCTACAATAAGGATCATGCGCCTAGAACCTTGTACAATGCCTAGTAAAGTCCTATCCTCTCCTCAGAACCCTCTCTATATTTTACAATAAATGTTATTCTAGGACCTAAGCATCACAAAGTCTCTGCCTTACTAGATTCAGGAGTCTCAACATGTTTCTTAGATGAAGAATTTGCTAAAAGACATAGCATATTTTTAGTGAAGAAAACTAAACCTGTTCATGTAGAAGTCATAGATGGTCGTCCATTGACTTCAATAGATGTTACTCATGAAATCCTTCCTATAGAAATAGCAACTAATGGTCATAATAGCTTTGTAATATTTAATATCATTAGATCTCTTTCTAATCTGTTATTTTAGATTTAACATGGCTAGAAAAATATAATCCTAAAATAGATTGGACTTCTCGTAGTCTTGACTTTTCTGAAAGTATAACTACGAGCATAGTTAATCAAGTAAAAAGTCATAAATCTAGTATAATTAAATCTATATTTGTAGGTGCAAGAGCTTTCTTGCATGCTGCAAAAATAGGATCACCTTATGTCATTTATGCCACACTTGTTTCTACTGCTCGAAAGACTTCAAGTAGTATTCCAAACCAATATCAAGATTTTTAAGATGTATTTGACAAGAAGAATGTGGATACTCTTATAGAACATCATTCCTCTGACTACTCAATTGACCTTCAAGAAGGAGCACAACCACCATTTGGACCAATCTACAATTTATTTCAAAATAAAATGGCTGAACTCAAGGAGTATATTGAAAAGAATCTGGCCAAGAACTTCATAGGCCATTCCAAATCTCTAGCAAGAGCTTCAATTTTATTTGTGAAAAAAAAAGACAGATCATTGTGGATGTGTGTCGATTATCGAAGACTCAATAAAATCACTATCAAAAATAGGTACCCGCTATCTTTGATATCTGGACTCCTTGATCAGTTGAATAAAGCTAAGATCTATACAAAAATAGATCTACAAAAAGCATACAATCTGGTACGCATCAAAGAAGGAGATGAATGGAAGATTGCGTTTCAAACAAGGTATGGACATTTTGAATACAATGTCATGTCTTTTGGACTTACAAATGCACCAGAAGCATTCCAACATCTTACGAATGCTGTCTTTTAGAAGTTATTAGATGATTTTGTTGTCTGTTACCTAGATGACAACTTAATCTATTCTAAGAATATAGAAGAACATGAACTTCATGTTCGTCATGTATTACAAAAACTAAGAGATGCGGGACTCTATGCCAAGATAGAAAAGTGTGTATTTCACACTACTCAAGTCGACTTCTTAGGATACATCATTTCAAATGATGGACTTATGATGGATCCTAAGAAAGTTCAAACTATTATGGATTGGAAGATCCCAAAAACAATAAGAGATGTCCAATGCTTTTTGGGATTTGCCAACTACTATCGGATCTTCATCAAAGACTTCTCTCAAGTTGGGTGTGCAGCAGCAGCAGCATCATCACAAGAAAGGTGGATGTTGTGTTTTTGAAGCAACTTCAATCACACAAGACATGGTGTGAAGCAGGATCAACGTGAAAATGAAAACTCAAAAAGACAATTGGCAGGAGTGGGTCAGGAGAAAGGATTCTAAAACCAACACGAACAAGCGAGTGATTCGAGAGGAATCAAGTGAAGAAGTAGTAGAAGCAGAAAGTGTAATCCATTTGCGAGCAAAAATGTGGGTTTCAACATGAGATCGTGGAGGCAACAAGACCCACAGTGTGTGCGGGAGGATTGTGAAGGAATCCATAGTCGAAGGGCGGAGTTGACAGTGCAGTGCGATACGTGAAGGAATTGCAATAGCAACAACAACAACTAGATCTAGCGAAGGACAATCAAGAGTATTCAAATCTAGCAAAGAAGGACCTAGAGATTGATTTAAAAGCAGAGTGCATTCAAAAATGGACACAACTACACATGCTAGACCTTCCTGAATTACAAGCAATTGCTGCAACAACTTGCCCAGTTGGGATTTTGGGCCTCTTGAGGTCGAACTCGTTTCTAAAATATTTTTTAAAGTTAAACCTATAACCATCATACAAGTTTTAATTTTATTCTTTTTCATACTACACGTGCTATAAATACAATCATTTTTAAAATGAATATTCTTTGTAAACACAAGAAACGTTTAACACAAACCAAACCATATAAAGTGTGGATTAAGCAAGCTTTCAAGGATATTGAACGGGTACAACTTTGTTAAGCTAAATCCAAATCAAAACGATTAAGTGAATTGTGTGCATTTAGAAGGTCTGTAGTGTTGCATGCCATTTTTATTCAAGGAAAATTTACCAAAAAAAAATCTGAAAAACAATTAAACAGAAGATGCAACTTACTCAAATACATCAATAGTAAAATTCACATAAAACAAAACAAATAAATAAATAATAAAAAAAAAAAGTAGCCTTTATTTAAGGCGTTTCTAGAAGGTTAAAATTCAGATAATGAAACAAAATCCAGTCCTCAAAAGGCTGCAAGATGCAAACATTCAAAAAAATAAACACCGTGTTAAATCACAACTCAATCCTTTAGTGTACCAAAATACATCAATAAAGCAACATTTAGATTAATTTTTATTTAAGATTTAGTATTAAAATGCACCAACCTTCATGAATCAGATAGAAATTTTCTCACCGCAATTATTATGAAAGTACGTTGCTTCAAGTCAGATTAAATTTTCCCAATAAAAACAGAAAGATACACTACAGAATACTACAATTCATTTCAATATTTTGTTTTAAAATTTTCCCATAATATACTCTAAAATAAAATTTTTTTAAAAATTGTTTTTGTTTCATGAAAGTTTCAATCTTGGCACAATGAAGTGATAAATAGTATATATATAGATATATATATATATATATATATATATTAAAATTTTACAATTCAACTAAACCACACACAAAAAATTATGCAAATATGAAATAAATTAGCAAAGAATTAAAAATTCAAAGTAATTTCAAGAAAACGTTCAGTAAATGCAAAGTGAGAATTACAAAAAGTAGAAGAAATAAGACAAAATCAAAATGAGTAGGGAGATGACATTTAACAATATGAATAAAACAGGAGATTCTATGCAAAGAGTTACAGAATAGTGGTGTAATAATGGTTTGTTTTTCATCCATCTTGCAAGATTCCTCCTTCCATCGCCCTCCACATTTAATATACTTCGGTTGCATTTATTATACCAACTTATTCACCAATCACCACAGATTCAATCAAGAAATACGATTTGTTGTCATATATTCCTCAAAACAAAGATTCAAAGCTGCCTCACAAAAAGCAGGCACGCGAGAAGGGAAATAAATAAGTAACTGAATCAAGAAATAAATAAACAAATAAATGACTGAGATTCTTCTGCCAGTCTGTGCCAGATACCCTCAACCAGATCCTGCATTGTGGGTTCTCCACTTCACACACTCTTCACTTTCACTTTGGCATCATCATATTGTTGTTGTTGTTGTGACAAAAACAACATTTCATTCTTTTACTCAATAGAAACACTCTTTCCACAACTAAAAGCTAACAAAAGTTGAGAATGTTGATCACAATGTGTGTACACTATAATGCAAGAGTGCACGTATTCATGTTGGGTACATTACCTGGTATTGTCGGGTCTATTTCGCAGACATTTGAGCGTCGGAATGATAGATATATATATATATATAAGTTGCAGTTGAGTGTGTCTTTTTTGACTTGGGAATGTTGGGGGAACATGCCGCTTCGAGAAGGCGGGCTGATAAGTGGGGAAGGGGAGAGTCGTTCCCTTCTGAGGCATTCGAAACAACAGCGATTAAATATACGCAGAGTGACTTCCCGAAGCAAAGCAGAGCCGTGGGCATCTCCCTCTTCCCGAGGCTGATGGGTCCACGATCCCCGTTGGCAAATTCGACCAGGAAAAGAAAACAAAAAGACAAAAAGAAGAAATAAAACACACACACACACACACATGTCTAATCTCGACGATCGGGGATCTGGAATTGCGTCGTCTTCTTCGTCTTCTTTATTACTCAGCACGCTTCGTTTCAAGCTCTACATCGCTACCATCGCCCCCGAGGGGTTAGCGCACACACAGACACACACTTTGCACAATTTGTTTTCCGTCAGCAGGCCAGTGGCAGCGATCGTCGCGAGAGCCAAGCAGGAGGGAGCGCCTCAGAGCTCATCGGACAACACCGGAGAGTTGCGCACCTTCGGCTGTGAATCGAGTCCGTTTCGATCAGTTCGGTTTCGCTTGAGGCCGCCGGCGACATGGCGTTGCAGGTCGGGGCCAGCCTGCACCCTTCGCCTTGGAATCTCCGCCTCCGTCATCAACCGCAGCCGCCGCCGCAGCAGCAGCAAGGCCCTGTGAGCTCCAGGGTTGTTGTTGTGTCTCAAGCTCGCCTGAATGGAGCCGTGGATCGGAGTGCGTTGAAATGCCCCGTGTCAAGGAGCTCCTTGTTTGGGCTCGATGGGGGGAAGAGTGGGAGATCGCAGTTTCCCGTGTTTTATGTGAAGGATGGGGTGTCGAGGAGCGAGGTCGGGGAGAGGGCACTGCTACAGGGGTTGGGGAGGAACGTGTTGAAGGTTAAGAAGGTGGGTTCGGCGAGAGCGAGTGCAAATGTGACTGCTTCCACCGATGGTAAGGTCCCAGCCCCGGCGAAGAAAGCGTGGGAGGGAGTGCAGCCCATACCGTTCGTGTTGTCAGTTGGGGTAGGGCTTGCGTTGCGGTATCTTGTGAAGAAGCCCGAGGCAGTGACAATGCAAGCGTGGCAGCTGCTATCGATCTTCGCTTCAACGATCGCGGGGCTGGTGTTGTCTCCTCTCCCAGTGGGAGCATGGGCGTTTCTGGGATTGACAGTGGCGGTGGTGACAAAAACCCTGACATTCGCTGCCGCATTTGGTGCATTCACGAACGACGTCATCTGGCTCATTGTGATTTCGTTTTTTTTCGCGAGAGGGTTTGTGAAGACGGGCCTTGGTGACCGCGTTGCGACCTACTTTGTGAAGTGGTTGGGGAAGAGCACCCTGGGCCTGTCTTATGGGCTTACACTGAGTGAGACTCTGCTGGCACCCGCCATGCCCAGCACCACGGCTCGAGCAGGAGGGGTATTCTTGCCAATTATTGGATCGCTATCGCTCTCCTCGGGCAGTAAGCCTAAAGATGCTTCTTCTAGCAAGTTGGGAGCATACCTTGTGATGACGCAGTTTCAGGTAATTCTCAGAATTGTTCGCTGATCTCTGTTCCAGTTCATTGTTCACGACACCTCTCCTGTAGAATTTTATATTCTTAGAAGCTGTGCGAACGAGGCGATGGTGCTATAAATATTCATCCCCAGCTTCTTGAAGTCTGAGCTTCTTGAAGCCTGAGGAAGAATCATGAATTATCTTGAATGCCTACAGATTCGAGCAGAGGAATCCGTTCTTAGCGAGTTCCTGGCCTTGAAATTGCTGTTGTTGTAGCCACGTAGGAGGCATGAGGGGTTGAATTTGTTGATTGAAGTTCGTACTCTGATCTCGGCTACTTCGAATTTGAAATCATGATGGTTCCGTGGTGACAGTCATTTTCTGAGTCTTGTGATGTCAATTGTTGTAACATATTTATGTCCATTATTTGATTGATCAGGCAGCTGGAAACTCGAGTGCCTTGTTTTTGACCGCTGCGGCTCAGAACCTTCTCTGCTTGAAACTGGCGCAAGGGCTTGGAGTGGTGATTGCAAACCCATGGGTATCATGGTTGAAAGCGGCGATTGTTCCAGCATTTATAGCTCTTGTTACTACCCCACTTATCCTTTACAAGCTCTACCCCCCAGAAATCAAGGATACTCCAGAGGCTCCTACTGCTGCTGAAAAGAAACTGAAAGCATTGGGACCTATCACTCAGAATGAATGGTCTATGGTGGCAACGATGCTGCTCGCTGTCACTCTTTGGGTCTTTGGGTACATTGACACCCCTAATCTCTTTCGTTTCTTCCCTGTATTACATCTTCATATAGTCTGTGTTTTCTTTTCCTGCAACTCGAAATTTTAAAAAATCATCTGACATTTAACGCCGGATCGCAGGGAGACACTCGGTATTGCTAGTGTGGTTGCCGCCATGTTGGGGCTCTGCATCCTCCTATTGACTGGAGTTTTGAACTGGGATGACTGCCTCAGCGAGAAGTCTGCCTGGGATACATTGACGTGGTTTGCGGTTCTTGTTGGAATGGCCGGGAACTTATCCAACCTAGGTCTTGTCAAATGGATGTCTGATTCCGTTGCTGGTGCTCTGGCCTCTTACTCCCTGAGCTGGCCAGCAGCTTTCGGGGTACTCCAAGCCACATATTTTCTCTCTCACTATCTATTTGCCAGCCAAACTGGACACGTAGGTGCTCTCTACTCGGCTTTCCTTGCAATGCATATCGCCTCAGGAGTTCCCTCGTCTTTGGCTGCCTTAGCACTTGCTTTCAACACCAACCTTTTTGGAGGCCTTACACATTATAGCAGTGGCCAAGCTGCAGTGTACTTTGGCTGTAAGTGCTTGCTATTGTCCCCTTTACTTTCTGTGATTCAGTTCAGCTCATGTTGCAAATGCTCGCAGCAGTTTCTAAATTATATCAGCAGCGATTGCATTTACCACTTTCCTAATAGCTGTGCCGCATACGGAGGAAAACTTGTGATTAGGTGATTAGTGTGCAGATACTGATTGTTCAATCGTCTGTGTTCTTGACAGCTGGTTTTGTGGAGCTGAAGGATGTCTTCAAGTATGGAGCAATTATGGCTGTGTGGAACATCTTGGTTTGGTCTGTGGCTGGATCTTTGTGGTGGAAGGCTATCGGCTTATATTAGATCATTCAATCTATTGTTTTCTGACTGACGCCACTACACGTGATCGAGTCTTCGATGGCAATCACATTCTTGCTAACTAATGCGACTATAGTTGACCACTTGTGTCAACTATGTATACTAAGAGCTCCATAAATTTTTGTAGAAATGAACTTATTTTTGACCAGAAGCAGCATTAAAGAGCATGACCTAATTGAGAGGTGAGTTGAGTGTGTAGAATTTCCATTTTAGGCATCATTTCACGTTGGTCTGAACTCTGATTTGGGAGTGTGTTAGAAAGTGGTTGCAGCTGTGGTTATATGACAGAGGTCACTTTTTATTGTTTGGACTCAATGAGGTGCTGCTCTGCATCAAGGATGTAGCATTATAAAAACGGCACGACCATTTTGTACACAAGTTTGGTTGACAATGCCTTTTTGGATATTGTCTTGCAATGAGTTAAATATCTGCCAACGGTAGCGCAAAATCTTGGAAGCTATAACTAGATTCTAAATGCCATTGCGTAATTATGTGAATCTGTCGTTGCCAGGGGCCGGGTGGACTGTCTGATCGTTTCTAATGGACGCAGTTTCTGCTGATGGTTAATTTGAAGGGCTTAACATTCTAACATGAATCTGGATGATTCTCAACCTATACAGCTCACTCACGTCCAAACGGTCCATCTCAGAGATTCCTGTAGAGGGATCAGTTTCTCTTGTCGGACGTAGGTTCTTCAGGCCCGCACCCAGTGCCTTCACTCCAAAACAACTCTCCGCCTGCTGGGCCCCAGGCTGTTTCCCAGTGCTTTCCGGTGCAATCAGCATGGTTGAATACTAATCGACTGCATTGCATTGAAGCTGTGGTTTTCTGCTTGGGACCATCATCTTTAGGAGGAAACAGCAGCGACCTCAAAAACTTCTGCTCTTCCAGAGACATTGCATTTACATCTCAGAAGCTCTAGTCATACTCAATCTGCAAACAAAGATAACACTCCGCGCACGAATTAGTTAAAGAGATCTTAGGTATTGAGAATGACAACCTGCTCACCTCAATCATCCTTGGAGAACTCGTTGGAGCAAATCGCTCGATAACGACACCATCTTTGCCAATGACAAACTTGGCGAAGTTCCACTTGAGGTTATCCCGGTAGAATCCTCTGATTCCACCACTTGTGGCTTTCAAATACTTGAATAATTCATGCTGGTTGGGCCCATTCACTTCAATCTACCCAAGCATTTCAAACGTCCGTGTGACGCTTGAATAATGATCGACATTTCCAGTAACTTAGTGTGCAACTGTTCGGAGCCCTCTGGAGAGACTTACCTTGGCAAAGAGAGGAAACGTTCCGTTGTACGTTTTCTTTACAAACTTTTTAATCTGCATATGTGTTCCGGGTTCCGTTTCGGCGAACTGATTACACGGAAATGCCAAGACCTCAAGCCCTTCAACCCAGCACCAAAGGGGACCAACAAAACCACACACAGATTAGCACATCCAGCACAGATCTAAGTATCCCCTGTTTCTGTGACTCGGTCAGAATAGAAATGCTTGGAAAATGGGAAGATACCATCTTTTTTATACTTGTCATAAATCTCTTGCAATTCGGTATAATTCCTGTCAGTGAGCCCGCTGTGGGCAAAAGAAAAAAAACACGAGAATGCACTCTCAGCTGAGTTCGAAGGTTTTGAATGAATGTTTGACATCAATTTCCAGCCACCTTGGATTTTCAAAAAGTAACCGTAAAATGGTTTCAGAAAATAATTACTTAAGGAACCAAAATATGAAGACCTAATCAGCATGTTCCAGGTACTGCGTTACGCGAATGACTTGCATCTGTTGAAAAAGGAAGTGTACATTACCAGTAGGAAGCGACATTCAAGAGAACTATGATCTTGTTAGCATATTTGCTCAGTTTCGTATCCACTCCGTCAATGTCCTGTTTTGTCGGTCATTGTTCCCAAAATTAGGATCAGGATTTGCTAAAACATCTCACTGATCCGTGCTGAGATTTACATACAGAGGCTCGGAATCCAATCCCACTGAAGTGACCAGAAGTGATCACCCAGCTTAATTTTTTACAATCCAAAAGGTCCCATTCGAAGTGACAAAGTACTGAGAGATAGAATCGCAGACCTTCACTGTAAATTCAAAGATGCTCTTCTGAGGCACCAAATGTGTCTCCGATGCAAACATTTTTACAGAATACACTGAAAGGCCACGTATCCAAGTCGTCTGGGCACAATTCTTTAGCTATTAATCCCACAGCTTCGAAGCCAACACTTGTACTGAAAATCTGCCCAGAGTTACGAAAGGGCGCCTATACTTAATGTAACTGACAACGGCCACGACGTCGAAGCGGCACCTCGTAAACGAAGTTGTGCTATACGCTGGGCATGAACGACTTCACGAGTCATTTAGTTTTGACCACAAAGCTCAATTGCAGAGCAAGACCTGGTCTCTCGCGCGTCATTCATCCTGTGGGTTCATTCAAACCTGTGCCACAACGATGTCCTGCAGCGAGCAAGGCTTTTCTGTGACGGGAATGTTAAATGAGCGTGTATGAATTGCGATGTATCATAAAAGTGAAAATCTTCAGCTTGTATAAAATGTGTATAAGAGCTCAAGAGAATAAACGTGTCCAAACATTTAGTTCCGTAAGTATTGAGCCGCTGCGATGGTTGTCGATGGTGAAGTGTCAACTTTCATATACGTGAGCATCATTAAGTGCCATGTTAAACAAAAATCGATGTAATAAATATAACCCTAGAGGAATTGTTGTGTAGAGTGCAGACAGTTAAAGAAAGTCGGCTGTGTCAACTCAGAGCAAATAGCATTCGTCGTTTTGATGTATCTGGACACAGTTCCTCACACACCGGGCAAAATCACCTACCGATCACAAGTCGTTTGGCAAAATCACAAGCATGAAATAACTATTCATTGTAACCCTTTATACGCCGTCAAGTCAACACTCAGGTGCAACACATGTTATTGATATCAGAAAGATACCAGAACATGAGTCAACGATTATATGACCCAAAATCTTACACTCAATGTAAAACTGCAATCAACAAGCACTAACTCGGACAAGGCAATCTACCAAGGAAATGCTTAAGGACCACCATTAATGTCGTTGCCAAGCCAAGATCGCAGAGAGTGCTGACCTACCACGCTCCGTCTTCGCACAGGGCCCATACTTTGGGCTATCTCGGCGTGAAGAGTCGGTCTATAAGCAGAAACAGGCCGAGATGGTCTTCGAAGACTGTAAGGTTGAATATTTCTTCGTCGTGTGTTCAATGACCTTGTCGTTGGTCTAAATTCTTGAGTTGAGTCAGGATTATAAGCTGTGGAAGGCCCAGAAAGGAACTGATTCCAAGCCAATCTCATGGAGTCTCTGCAGGTTGAAGACTCATTGGTGAAAAGAACAGACTAAACCAATTTTCCTACAATGGCGATGCTACGTTTGTTATGTAAATAAGCTTAATCCTTCGACTGGACAAGTTTCAAACTTGAAAATCATCTTGTTGCTAACAACCAATAACCCCCAAGAAAATAGGTTTCTATCTACAAATTCAAAAGTATTCCAATATGCCGCATGAAATAATAATAACAACAACAATAATAATAATAATAATAATAATAATAATAATAATAACAACAAGAGAAGCGTAGTCAAACCTGTGATGCCCATGGGCGCATCCAGGACAAAGCCACGGTGGTGGGCCCGGAGGATCCAGACAAAATTCGTGAATTGCTCGATCTCCGCAAGTTGCACATCTCCTCAATAGAGATTCAGAGTCACCACTCCCGCAATGAATACAGACAGCGTCCTACATAGAAGTCAACGGAATATGTGCGATGAGAATAATCAATATGTATCTGAGGGCCTAATGCCAATGTACATAGCAGGAACGATTTCCTCACAAAGCAGGCTGTGTTTTGACCATCCGTCAACCAATAGGGCATTCAAAACCGTCGGACTTGTCAGCTGGGGATGCAACTAATCACCATGGCCTACTTTTTTAATGCAGCGAAGGGAAGGAACAGGAGAAACGACTCGTCATCAAAACCAAAAAAACTGAACGTTACGTCTTATCATTCACGATACTTACAAGCACGACTGTCCGCGAGGTTCTTGTCGACAATCCTTTCTCTCTGTTGCCAACAACCACCACAGTTTCCTCAATTTCTCCCAACGAACTCAATTCTTGTTTTGTGATAAAGTCGCATGGTGCTTTACAAAGAGGACAATTTGGTCCTTTCACCTGCAAGCTCAATTAATAAGTGACAGCTAAAAGATTGGCTCAGGCCAAACAACAGCTCTAATCTAGAAGCCATATTTATCAAGAACATATTCAACAGGAACCTACCACCTAAGACAGAGATTGTGTGATTATTTATCGTACAATACTACAAACTTGAAAAACAGAGGGTTAACAGCAATCGTACCGCTTGTACAGTCCAAGTAAATATACATTTGTAACAAAATACATGTCCACACTGCAACAGTCCTTTACACGAAGACTTCGCTTCCACTAAGCAAATGGCACACGCAACCTCTCTATCCCGTTGCGAGGATTGTGAGTTCTGCGAGCTTTTGCCTTCGTAATCGGCATTAATGCCCTCTGTAGTTTGAAGGCTAGCAGCATGGGAGCTCGGCAAAGTAATCTCCCTCATGTCCTCGTCATCATCAGCTAGATTTATAACAGTGACCTCTCTCTGAGATCCACTAGAAGGTTGATCTTTATTACTCCCCCTCGGTTTTCCACGTAAAGAGCTAAAAGCTTCCCGATTCTGACCACCATCCCTCCTGTGTAATACCGAACTCTCCGACTTTCTGCGCCTTGAGTCATGCCCCTGCTCTTGACCGGTTTCGTGGCATAATATTGCATTAGCTGATTTTCTGCGCCTCGTTCTGTAGCCCTGCTCCAAAGCATCACTACATTCACCATAACCTCTCCGATGCGATCCTCCAGGTCTTCCGGAACATTCAGGGGCTGATGATTCCTCTCTGCTCATGTTATCTTGCTTGGTATTAAGAGGACTAACCCGAACTTCCAGACCAGAGCGTTTAATCAACCTCCGTGACTTTCGGCTCCCAGTAGGTGCAGTTTCTACGTTAGAAGGCCCAGCCTGTTCTATGCCCGGGGAATTCCTCTCGTAAGACGTCGAACAGATGACTTGCTCTCCTCCGTGTCTCGTATTTAGCTGACACCACATGGTCACACTCAATCAGCACCCAAACACATATAAAACCCAAAAATAAAAGAATTCGATGCCAGAGATAGGTTGTGGCACCTCTAAGTCAATCGTATCGGAGAAAACGGTTGCATTGTCATGGAGACGGTCGGCAGCTCCGCTGTGCTGTTCATCCCGTTTCGTCATGGCAGGTGTAAGAGTTGCTTTCCACTTCAGTGGCCCCACATCTTCCCCACTGAACATCAAATCGGCACTTACTAAATTAATGAGGAAGGCCCATCTATGTATGTATCATATATAATGTCGGAATGTCACACGAAATCAGGACTGATGTTCTGACTGGTGACAAGGAGAGTAACTTCGGTGTTGCTGATCACGACTCAGAAATAACCAGGGTTAAAGTTTTAAAAAAACTAAAACTAAAAAACTAAAAAAGGAAACTTGACATCATGCCTGTTCTCTAGGGAAACTATCAGACGGTGAGCACATCTGAAAATTCAACCTGCGGATAGTTCATACCTGCGAAGCTTGTATGGATCTTCTGGAAGCCTTCTGCCTGCTCGCAGACAGTCCTCGAACCATTGGTGATTAATTACCACTTTGTGCAATTTCATCGCACGATCAAACTTTTTACCGTAAAAATTCCAGCATACCTACAGATCGTTGACAAACGGAGATATCACTAAAAGTTAGTACATCATTTCATTAACGTGCATTCTCTAAGCAGATAAACATGTTCATCATAAGCAATAATCAAGTCATTTGGCAAAAAAAAGAAGAGAACTACCAGATGTGTGTTGGCCTTGGAAAAAACCCCTGTATAAGCAGCTCCAGTTTTGTTGATCAGTTTAACAAGATTTTGTCGATCAAGACCTTCATAACCACTTAAAGATGCAATTACTTGATCCATACCCTCAACAGGCCCATCCGTCCATAATTCATCTTCCGCATCAGCGGTCACTGCAGGTTCCCCTTCTTCAGCGTTAACCCTGTCTGCCGTTTCTAAGTGTTCCTCAACATCCATTCTTACAGGTACTTCATTCCTGTTCTCAACGAATGGAAATCCGGACAAGCTACGGCTGTCACCTTCGCCTGAATTTAGATTTACAAGTCTAGTAGAACAATCTGCAATGGTGACGGGAGTCGAGCCTCCCGACTGTTCAGGTCGAAGTAATTCGTCTTCGTGAGACCGAACATTTATGGTTTCATTCGACATTATTAAATTGCAGTCCTTTGTGTGTATCTGACCAGTTATTTCCCTAGGTGCAGATGCTTCACGTGGCGAATCCCCGTTATCATCGGATACATGAGTTATGTCCTTGGAAAGTGAATAAGTCTGACTGAATGCACAATCCTGCCGTATGTCATAGGAAGGTCTGCTAACTCCATCACCATCAATGGACAACTTCACGTCTTCCACAATTTCATTAACAGCCTTGACGGTGTTGCTAATCGAAACCTCTTCTGTGCGATTCTCTGAAGAAGCTCGAGGGTATTCACTCGGGAAACTTCTCTCCTCAAGTTCAGCTGCTTCCTCCCTTCCCTGCGGCGAAATGCGTAGAGGCGATTGCCGCAAATCAAAACTTGTATCACCTCCAAGCAGTGTACAATCAAAGACATCCAGAGCTAGAGAGTCAGAATCATCTTCGTCGTTCCGTAAGATACCCTCTTTAGACTTCTCGAAAGGACGACAATTTACTTTTGGATTACCCGTGGGCTTGGGAGCAGCGAGGAGTTCCTGTGATCTAGCCACTCCTCGACCATGTAAACTAGACACTGCCCTAGGAGGAATCGCACACATGTCTGAGCCGTCTTTCAACGATAATTTCTCAGGACTACTCGTACCGCAATCCTGAGGTAAACCTTTCCGCTGTCGCAAATTTTCACTCATTTCCTGCTCGTCAGCAACATGGTATCCAATAAGGTCCTTTTCCTTGTCTTTCACACATGTTTCTCCAGCTTGGAGCAGGGGTAAATGCATGGAGTCCGATAAAGTGTGAACATTATCATGTTGATTGATGTCAACCGTGAGCAAACACTCCAGGGCAGCAAAGTAGAACTGATCACCATTAGCGAGCTGCACTGCTTCACCTTTACGAAGCTGAAATAGCTCAGTGGCCGGCGTAGCCTGTAACAGTCAGATTACTATGTCAAAAATACAAATACCATGCCAAACTGCATCATCGTCTCTACATCACAATTGCAGCTTAGAAATACAATGAATTATGATTCCATGAGTTTCCGCGGACGAGATGTCGGCAAATGTGCCAACCTATCAAAGCCTAAGCCAAGAACACCGTCTACACTTCCGAGACGCTTTGAAGGCATAATTCGAGATTTCTATTCAAAACTGCAGAGGCAAGTTGTATGACAACGACCTGGACATACAAATAACGCCTCTGCATTTACACATAATTCTTGAATAAATTTATGAGTCATTGAAAATTGTCACAACCAAAATTAACTATTCTCCGCACTCCAACAACAAGTTCACGTACCTCCGTGCCGAAGAAATTTTTTGAGTGGCAAACGACGAAGAGTACCGGATTACATCCATGGCACTCAAGACGCAACCCCGTATCTGTGAATTCAAAACAGGCCTGACGTCTGCTGCAGAGGAGTTGAGCCCTCAAAGACACATCAAAGTCTCCACGCCCGATCCATGTTACGCCTCTTTTTAATTCCTGCACGAGTTCAAAATCATCCATGTTTCAAATTGTAGATCCAAAATACAGCGGGAAAATTCGCAATCCTGGGAGAAAAGTTGCAATAACAGTTAAGTGTAACAATTTTCCCCAAAAACGCTAGCTTCTCGCATGCACGCCACACTTACAAGAGGGGGGCGTCCTCCAGGAGGTTTTAAAAAGGCCGAGCGCGTACGCGGAGTCAAACATCCGCACATGGAGAACTGTGAAACAATTCAGCTAAAAAAATCACTGTCACAAAGCTAATGCTCCAGTAACACTACCACTGCCCGAACATCGTCACCAACGCCTTTTGTCCGTGGCGTTACAACCATGGAAACAACGAATCAATATAGGATTTAAAAATAAAAATAAAAATGAAAATTCTAACCAATTCTAGAAAAGCCAAAATCCATGTCCAACACTCGCTCAATATTTGCACAAACTACCCTTGTCAACAACCACTAGAGTTCCCATTCGCGATGCAGTAAACTAAAGTCAGAAAGAGAAAACCCTAGCCCCGACCTCCCAACAGACACCCGCCCCGATAATAGAACGTCTCTCAGATCCACGGCCTCTATCGCAGCTACAGCAGCGCATATTCTACTAACTCAAATTCAGGTCGAGCGCGGCCATTCCAATGCCTGCGGCAACGTCAACAACAACAACAACAAAGACAACAACGGAGCGTGCAATCCACTGCAAAACTTGCAGTGCTTCTTGTGCGAACCCTAACTAAATAAAGCAGTACACCAAGTCTGTACAAAAACGAAGTTTCAAATAATTCCTGAGGCTCCGAAGCGATTTAACAACGGCGGTGCGGAAGTAGCAATGGATTTGTATGGCGATGATGCGATCGCTGCAGGGAATTCAAATGTAGGCCCTCCTCGTTTACAGTGGCCCCCTCCCTCCGGCAACTCCTCCCCCGCTGCTGCAGCTTTCGATGAATGAAAGTGACTGAGGTTATAACGGAATAACTATCATCCATTCCAACTAGTCTCGCTTTTCATCGCCCCTTTTAATTTCTTTATATTTTTTTAGATTTTGGATCCCAATTTGTAGCTTCTGAACTATGACTTGTATGTTTTTATTTTTAAATATCATGATATGGTGGGTTTTTAGAATTAAAAAATAATGGTCTTGTGAAACTTTGAAAATTTGAGTCATGGATCTCAAACTTGAAGGCGTTTACAATCAGGATTTTACGAGAAAAAATTAAAAAATTTAAAGTTTACTTTTAGATTGTGGTGAAAGACACATGTCAACTTTATCCTTTCTAAAGCTTGGATGTCATTGTATCAAACTTATCTTGATTATAGAAGTGATTAAGTGATATAAGCACAATTAATCAATCTTCTGAATCATAACTATTTCTGAGACAACATTCTTTAATGTATAACTTTTAAAATCACATGAAGTTTTGAAATTGTGCTCAATGCATCTGTTTCACATTCTATTAAACTTAAATTATATTTCCCAACAATGAAAAACCTTTTTCTTTTTCATTTGTTCCTTGCTCTTTTTTTGAAAAAAGTAAAATATATGCATGGGCCATTTAATTAGATAATTCACCATTGAAAACAGTCAATATTATTGTTGTGCTTAAATTATTCTGTGAAGTAAACAACCATTTCTATGCCTGGTTTTTGGGTATTTAAAAAAGATCATAAAACATAAACAGTAATTTATACATACACATATACAGATATATAATTTGATTCTTTACACTCAAAGACTAACAATGGATTTTAAAAGTTTCAAAAGATACTTTTTTTAGAAAAAGAAAAAGGAAAACGATATTACATTGTTAAAAATAAATAGTTTTAGAGATATAATTTTTTAAAAAAACTTTGTCACCTATTTTTATTTTTATTGAACCAGGTTTCATGTTATCATCCAATGAATGAAATTAACTATTATTCATGGCGAGATATTTAAGATTGCTCAAAAAACAAAACATTTACTAATTAAACAAACCATGTCACACACGCAGAAATAAAAAGTTCAAATACTCAATCCTCACTAACAATTGGCCAAAATCACAAAAGGGATTAAAAAGACTTCTCAAGTCAAAATGACATAATTAATGAAACAAATTTTCTAGAGGGGAAAAACTTTATAACCATACATGATACCAAGTTCTTCAAAAGGTTTTTTTAAGAGGGTTTTAATGAGAATTCGAACGTCGAGATGTTGAAATAAAGCTAAGCACCACCTCCAGGGAGAAGCGATCATGGGTTCGAACTCCCGTGAAGTCATAAACATTCATGGGTTCGAATCCCCCGGAAGTCACAGACATTCATGGGCTCGAACCCCCGTAAGGGCAAACACACGGCACATCCATTTGATCGACGCAGATACTTCTAGGTTTTCCCGTCAACCAATTTCGAACCCAGTGTCTCTCTCATCGTTCTTTTCGCTTAAACCCTAAAATCCCTTCCTCGAGGAGGTCGATGCGGAGCTCAGCCCTGTTGATTTCCGATATGTTGGAGGAAATTATTGCGTCGCAACAGCCAACATTGTTCGCCGTCGTCGCTTTGATGTGACTGGCCGTGTCTATGTCGTCTTCGAAATAGAGGTTAAGTTCAGGGCATGATAGTTGAGCGGGGTTTATACACTGAGGTTCTTCGTGTATCTTAGTTTGGAGTTGAGTTCGATGTGAGTGGAGTTCGGTTTTGAGGGAGCAAGGGAATTGGCTTTGGGTAATTCGAGCACTTCGAGGATTTTAGATTAGTGGAAATGCCGCTGGCACAGAGAGCAGGTGATAATAGCGAGGCGCGGTATTGTGGGGTAGAGGTAGGGTTTAGTGATGATATCCAGAATACGTTGGCATTTGCCCTGGGTGGGCAATTTGATTTCATTGTAGCGCCTCTGACAGATCCTGAGTACCGGCCTAGCAAAGGAAAGGAGGGGCCTCCCCCATTCTCAGGGTCGGATTTGGTGCTCAGCCCGTCGCAATGGAGCAGTCATGTGGTGGGTAAGATGAGTGCGTGGATTGACCTTGACTCGCCTGATGCTCTAGCTCGCCAGGATGCTGAGTTGACTTTAAAGCAAGAGCTTAGTTGGGCTCAACATCTCTCTCTGCAGGCGTGTTTATTGCCGACCCCGCGGCCTCTTGAGTGTGCAAATTATTCACGCTGTGTAAATCAGTTGCTTCAGGGACTCAGCAATTTGCAGATCTGGTTGCGGATTCCGCTCATCGCTCCGGAGCTTCAAGCTGTTGAAGGCACTGTCGAAGAGGATACTGCGTTCTTGAAACGAGAGCCGGTTTCTGGAAAGCCTCTCAATGATTCTTGGGAATGGTGGAACATGTTTCGGTCGCTGTGTGAGTACCACTGCCAGCTTTCTGTTGTGTTGGACATTACGGGCTCTTTGCCTTCCCCGGCTTCCTTGAAGCGGTGGATAGGGGAGCCTCTGAGAGCTGTCATCATTCATACAAGTGCTTTCTTAACTAACAAAAAGGGATACCCTTGCCTTTCTAAGAGACATCAGAATTTCATCACCACTCTCTTCAATCACAACGTTCAGATTATCGTATCTGGAGAGTCGATGCACCACGTGGATAGCCTAGACCCAACCACAGCCAGCAGTGAGAGCGGTGCTAATGGATCCGAGGATGGGGCTTACCCGAGGCATCACTTGAGACCTTACTTAGAGTATATTTCACACTTGTATCGACACATGGATCCCCTTACAGAGCAGGAGAGATTCGAAATAGGGTACCGAGATTTTCTACAAGCGCCCTTGCAACCTCTTATGGATAATTTGGAGTCTCAAACGTACGAAACGTTTGAGAAGGATGCCACCAAATACAACCAGTATCAAAAGGCAGTTTATGCTGCGCTTGTGGATCGTGTGACAGACGATGAGACGACGGTTGTACTCATGGTTGTGGGCGCTGGACGGGGGCCATTAGTGCGGGCATCATTGCAGGCCGCCGAAGATGCTGGGTGCAGGTTGAAAGTTTATGCAGTCGAGAAGAATCCAAATGCGGTGGTTACTCTTCATAGTTTGATCAAGATTGAGGGTTGGGAAGATCTAGTGACTGTTGTATCATGTGATATGCGGGAATGGAATGCCCCGGAGAAGGCTGACATACTTGTAAGTGAGCTTCTAGGTTCGTTTGGGGACAATGAGCTTTCACCTGAATGTCTAGATGGAGCTCAAAGGTTTTTGAAACAAGATGGTATCTCCATACCATCATCATACACCAGCTACATATGTCCTATCACTACGTCGAAACTGTACAACGACGTGAAATCATACAATGATCTCGCCCATTTTGAGACAGCATATGTAGTGAAACTTCACAGTGTGTCGATGTTGGCTCCCCCTCAAGAAGTGTTTACTTTTGAACATCCTAAGTTCACTGGGGATAAGATTGATAATGGACGATACAAAAAGCTGTTGTTTCAGCCGCCAGAAGACACAGGCAGTGCCCTGGTGCATGGTTTTGGAGGCTATTTTGATGCCGTGCTATATAAAGATGTTCACCTTGGGACTGAGCCGTCTACTGCTACACCCAATATGTTTAGTTGGTTTGCTATATTTTTTCCTCTTCGAAGGCCTGTTTACATACCTGCAGGATCAGCTGTAGAACTTCACTTTTGGCGTTGTGTAGCACCCAGCAAAGTTTGGTATGAATGGGCAGTCTCTTCACCAGATGTTTCACCCATTCACAATGCTAATGGTCGCTCATATTGGGTGGGCTTGTAGGACAAAAAGTTTGAGCAATTTCTTTGCCATTTGTTATTGAATTTTCTGGGTCTTTTATTCGCAAAGTCTCCGGTTTCTAATGTATATGTGGCTTATTAGGTAGTCAGAGATCTACAACTTGGTGCAGCTCTGTTTGACTGCCTCAGAAACGTCATTGTTTAGGTCTTGAAAGCTTTTCTGTACTCGAATAGTGTCAAAGTTAGTGCTTTTAGTAACTCTGCTTACAGATGGCAAATCAGTTTTTTTAATTTTTTATGTTTCACACGAGCTTGATCATTTTTAGCCCCCACTTATGCCAATCATTTATTTTAAGATTTTTAATCTTCGTAAATCGAGTGCAACTAATTCACACATGTATTGACTGTTGATATCGACCAAGCTCGTTGAGATCATCTGTTGCTGCTTTTCTGTTTTGGTTTTGCAAATGCAGCCGAGTACAGAGACGGTTGTATTTTTACAGTGAGCATTGGACTTTTTGGTTTAGACCTCCAGGTGAGTAATGTTTTCTATTTACCTTATTGAAAGGTGCAGTTATGTTGTGTTAGTAAGATCTTTGTAAATAGACATTTTAATATTTGTAGAGGTGATTGCATGTGTGAAAGAAGAAGTTTGGAATATTAAATCAAATGTTGAAACGCATGCAATTGTGTTTCATTGATGAATTCTTTATAAATTAAGATTTTTTACATTCATACATGTTAATGCAATACGATTGTTGCACGTTTAAAAAATAATAGTTTTGTGATGTTCAAAAAAATTAGAAACTTGCATCATTGTATTCAAATAGTATACAAGACAACATAATTGTATTAAAACATATAAATGATTTAATCTAAAATGTCAACTAATCCATTTTTAAAATTTAATAAAAATACAACATTTTGTTAAATTAATAAGATCTTTGTTAAAGTAGTTTACTTTTATAATACTGAAGATGATTATATATGATTAAAATAATGAAGATAATATTATTATATCAATTCTCTTTTGTTAAAAAGGAGTCTTCATTGTTCAATATAACTTCTTACTACCAAATTCCAAATTATACATATGTAAATTCATCATTGTTATATTAATATAAATTTTTGTAATTTTAAGTTAAGCTACATGATGTCATTTTGTAGTAATATATACATATATATGTATTTTGAATTTATAAAAAAAACAGCTTTAAATTAGTCAAATAATACTCAAATAATTTTTAAAGTCTACATATGAAAACTTTGATATTTAATCTAAACTAATTACAACTTCTAATTAAGGAAAATTGAAGATGGATATTGTTGATATAAAAATATTCTTGCTTATTGAATAATAATAATAATAATAATAATATATGTATATATTTTTTTTCTAATTCTACGGGTTTTTAAAGTTGCATTATCATTTCTGAAGGAATATAATATTAATTGTGATAATCATGAATTCAAGTTATACACAACTATGCAGTGAATTTGAAGATGGTGTTAAATTTTGGATGCAAAATACTTGTAAAACTACCTTAGTTTTAATTAAAGTAATTTAAAAGAAAAAAAATCAAATATTGATATGGTCATACTTATATTATTATATCTTTAAAACATTTCAGCACATAGTAAATTTTGTAGCTAACCTAAATCTAGAATTTATTTTTAAAAAATAAACTTCTAGATCTCTATTATAATTATTATTCCTATCTATCTTTGCTTCTTCATACTTAATTGTAGTGAACATGGTGTGAAGCCAAATTAATAAAAAATAAAAAAATAAAAAATAACAACATTTAATACAAAATAAAACATTTTATTAAAAATATATAGATTGTTGTTATTTTATTATACAATTTCATAATTTTTGAAATTGCATATGATACATCTTTGATCAAGAGCCTATACATATAATAAAAATAAAACATTGTCTTTATTAACTTTACAACTAATTTTGAATATAGACAAGACTATTTCATTACAAAATGAAATACCAAAATAGTTCTCAAACATCATTTATTGTAAACAAGAATACTGTGTAATAAAATATCAAAGAGAAAGAATGTGCATTCTTTAAAAAATAATTATTGAAATGTAATTGCAACTTTATATAGATATAATATAACTTATGATTTTCTATACATAATTACTTATTTAGTCTTTTCTAATTTAATATATGTGTATATATATATATATATATATTTTAAAACAATCTTCTTCTCTATAAGCTTTTTATTTTCTTTACTAATCACTATTTAAGATTCAATTAAAACTTTTGATTTAGCTTAGTTTTGTATTACAGTTGTTGTTGACGTTTTGTATACTAAAATTCATGTGCTTGTAAATTAACACAACTTTATAAAAGATATAAATCTATAACCTCTTTTCTATTTTCTATGTTATAATTTTTTAAAAAGTAAACAGAGAAGAAACACAAATTAAAACCTTTAAAAATATTTTATAATCAATCATAGATTATTTAAAAATTATATATATTATTATATTCAACCATTTTTTTTTATTGAAAGCACATTAATCTATTTTATTTTTTATGATGTAAAATTCTCTTCTTGCACCATTTAATTCTCATTTTAATTTGTGGTTATTAACTTATAGACCATTTTTTTTTTGAAAATATGTTAAAATCATTTTATCTAAGAATATCATATTAGTGTAGAAAGTGTATGTATAACTGAAAATAGCATGTACTTTTTGTAATAGACACAAAAGATTTTATTTTCTTTTTTAATAGCCTCTTAGATTCGTGAAGAAAATTAAATATTACAAATTGATCCTTGCACTTGTTATAGATGGCCTTAATATAAATTGAAATATCTATACATATACAAATGAAAGTAATAACTTTTACAATAAAAAATGTATTTAAAGTTACATTTTTTTTAGAATAGACAATACAATGTTGAAGTAGTATAGTAGTTTTTTTTATGTGTGTGTGTGTTTTATTTATTTTATTTTTCAACAATAGAAAAATAAAAATATTAAACACATTAACTGTTCTATTTTGGTAGTCAAAGTAAAGAGTTTGATTGCACAAAATTGTAGTTTATGACAAAATAATGTATACATGTGTTTTTAATATCAATGATCTTAATTAGTTTAAGATATAATATTATCTAATTATGAGTTGCACTTTGTAAACAAACTCATAGCAAACAAGCTCACAACATAATTAATCATCCATAGGTATATCTTATGTTCTTATTATTGATGTATATGTAGTATGAATTTATCTTTTATAGAACAAGAATTGCATTTTTTTTCCGCTTTATATATTTATTTTAAATGCATGAGTAAATTTTTAATAATTTAAAATCTCCAAATCATGTTGATTTCCATCAATCAACATAATCATTAATTAATGTTATAATCTAAATTCTTTGTTAAGTTTCCTACCTATAACTTATAAAAGTTAGCTATGTACAAAAGAAAATCTCTTCATCAAAAAATATTTTATACAAAGTAGCCTAATAAGTAAACCGTGCTTTTCTTTCTATAAGTAAAAGATAAAAGAATATAGTCACAAGTAAAGGTATTTTATTTTATTCTAGACAATTTTAATATTAAATTCATTCTCATTTTGTGCTATCAGAGCAGGCTTCTCAAGTCTCGAATGTAAACTGTTCTATTCTTCATATTTTTTTCACAGTACAAAAAACAAATTCTGTTATGTTATGTAAAAAAAATAAAAAATAAAAATCAAAACCTGCATATATACTCACATAGATTTGGATTCATAAAACCATGAAATTCTGCTCAAAATTAATGGGTAATGAACAATAATAGTTTGATCTATCCATCGAATTTCAAAAGCAAATAATCACTTATTCAAAATCCTACTGTATCGAAAACTTTTTTTTTTTTTTTTTTTTTTTTTTTTTCCTCTACATATATTTTTATAAATATCAAGGATATCGTGGCTCGACGATTCATGCAAATAGAATCACGTAACGAATTTTCAAAAACAAATTTTTTTACATGTTGCCCAAGACTGAAACAATTTTATAGATAAGATGTTTTTGAAACAATATTTTCGAAAACCTCCTCACTCAATGATCTACCAATGATATCGTCAAGTAAATAAAGAATATCGCTTAGCGTTAGTAAAGTCTACGTCAATCATTTGCACATTTCAGAGTCAGCAGGTCTGGAGACCGATTCCGGCCACCGTCGAAAGTCTTGCGTGCAACACGGCTCCATGCATGCGTTCTCTTTCTTCGGGACTTGCACTGCAGCCTCCAGATCGAGCTCCACCATATCTGGACGTTCACTGCTGCTTTTTTCCTGCAGACACAAGAGCATCACATTCTCGAAATGCCGCTACAACAGGAAAAAAAGAAAAAGAAAAAGTGGAAACATCAAATTAAGTGTGGTGCCAATTCCCATGTTAGACTTGCAGGAAATGGAAGGACGACAATCACAGGATCTATTAGTTTACTTGGACTTAATCCGAAGACTGTTGCTGTGAAGGGCGTTGCGAGCGAGCAAGAGAGAGAGAGAGAGAGAGATCACTGAGACTGAGAGTGTTAGTTTTTAGGTAAAAGCATGATAGATTAACGCAGAGAAGAGAGTGAAACCTTGCTGCATGATGCGGAACCAGGAGGTGGACGAAGGAGAGGGGGCCGGCCACTTGGGAAGTCTTTCCTGGTCGAAGAACTTGGAAGAACCATTGCGTGGTGTCGAACATTCCAGAGTTGGATGGCTGAACACAGATTAGATTTTCTCATTTGAGGATGAGGATGTGTAACTGGGTTGTGTGTGATCGCCATGTGTAAGTGGCTCTCGGAGTTGGCGGACGCCGGAGACCAGAGGAACTTGTCAAAGGTGAAATTTTTGGTTTGATTTTTGCAGATGAATGCGTTGGTTTGTCGAGTGTGAGGGGAAACTGAGCACCGTGAGTGTGCGTCACCGTGTTGATCAGCAACCCACTCGGAAACGACCCCATTCAGTTTCGAAAAATAGCATCGTCGGATAATGCACAAAATTAGAGGTGCGTAATATTTTTATCATAGGTTGTAGGATAAAAACGTGGGGCCTCATCGTCCACGTGGAGACTAGCGCTGTTCCACCCTACACTCCATCTTTGTACAATAGCCATGCTTCTATAATGCGCAAAACTGGTCGAAAAATAGGAAGGCTGTCGAGGTCCCGTCTCTCGCCAATGCAGGCGCCCCCTTTCTTTGCGTTTTATTTTAATAGTAGTTCTGATTCGAGAAGAGGTGGAGTGCAAAGGCAGGCTCCCCCCCCTCCCGGAACATTCTCTTGTTCAAAATGTGCTGATTAGATGCGCCGAACCTCGAAGTTTCGCCGAATTATCTCAACTGGGATACAACTTCCGACGTGACGTGTAGATTGCCATCCCTCTCTACCTTCTGGTGGGACTCGATTCCCATCCATGGTTTTGAGGGCTTTGCATCAACCAGTTTAGCATGTCGGGTGCGAATGGTTCTTCCGAGATGGCACAAGCAGGTTGCCTGCACCGAGAACGGCGCTCTGGGTCTTACGAATACAGCACACCCTCACACACCCCCGCTGTGGTTCAGGAGAATCAAGTGCTTGCAACACTATTCAAAGGAACATATAAAGGTAACTAATAATAGTGTTACTATAATAGTAATAATACATTTCACCGATAATGCATCGATACCTGCAAGAGCTCTCTGACATTCACATGAAATAGCCATCACAATGATCCTGTGAGCCCATCAACATGAGTCACGTCGTTTGCTCGGCTGCGGTTCCTGGAGGTGGAAGGACTCGGATCTCAGGGTTCAGGGTTTCTGTAGAGTTGGAGCTGCTACACTCATACATGAACCAGGACTGTAACACTCCCATGTGTCGGAGAGGCTTGCAGGGAACTGCAGCAGGTCCACCTTCCCTGGACCTGATTCTCGTGGGGTTCAGGTCATGACCATGCCAGCAAATACTAGCACCACATGATCAGTAACTTAACAGATCAGTAAACACCAATCCATGAGAGTGCTAAACTGCTAAACTTGGATCGTCCTCCTCCTGCTGCCGCTGCTGCTGGTGCTGTTACTGATCCGTGCCGTGAATTTTGTGTGTTCTTTTTTTTCTGAGTGATGCTAAAAATATGGCATTCCCAGCGTGGCTGTGCAGCATCAGGCCAGATCCTCTCTCCCCCGTTGTGCTGAAAGCATGCTTCATACTTTCATGCTTCGCCACTCTGGGTTCCCTTGTGGCCTTACCTGTGCCTCTATTTTTGCTACCTTGCTTGTGTTGTCAGCTCTTGAGGGAGGTTTCCACGCCGTTGCCTCTGTTTTGGTTCCTCCAGAAGCCAAGCGAAGGGCAGGTATTTCAGACATGGAAAGGCAGGAAGTCGAAGAAGAAGGGAAAAAACATAAGAAGAAGTTAAAACTAAATTATAAAATACTATTAAAACGAGAGAGAAAAAGGTAGAGTTCGTGTTGAACCTTAGTGTTACACCCATATTGCATTTCTGTTTGGTATTGCAACGTTTAAATAATGTAAGATAGAAAATGGTGCCACCCAAAACATTTTGTATGCATAATAAGCATGGTCCTATGTTATCACATGAAGTTTGGTTTTGATATTTTTCTTAATTAATTTTATAAAAAAAACAAGCAAGCAAGCAAAGTATAAGAATTGAGGAGAAATGAATGTAATCAGGGTAATTAATACAAAAAATAGATAATTGAAAAATTTACATGGGTGAGGTTTGTGAGTTCATTTATTTATTTATTTATTTATATATTGATAGATCACGAAAATAATGTGGATGTTAGAGAAAAAAGTGAATACAAACGTGTAGATAGAGTTGAATAATGTAAACAAATACAGATACCACAATGGATGAATGTGTTTAAAAGATTAATTTAAAACTATACAAAAATAAACTGATTCCATGATGAAGAGGACAAGCAGTGGCAGATTAACAGAATCAAAATAAAATTTAATTTGAAATTAATTCAATTTACAAGTAAATTTTCAGAAAGAGTTTTTAAAAAATGAATCCTAATTATTTTTTAATGAAACTTATAAACTTCAGATATTTATTCTGACTTTTTTCATATATAAATTATTTCTTAAAAAATAAAAAATGAAAAAAATACACCTATATTAAAGACTTTGAAGTTGTCTTGTGGATGATCAAATTTAATGTTCTCATGTTGATTGTAGTTCTAATACTAACAATGTATATGTATATGTATATATATATATATATATATATAATTTGTTTTTGGTAAAACTGATTTATTTCATCAATACTATATAATATTAAATATGATTAAATGTTGATTTTTAACTTCTTTAAAAAATTGAAAACGACAAAAATATTAAAATGCATGAATATTTTGGTATCCCCATTCAGACTCTCTAGATTGTTACCTTCAAGAATACTACTGTAAACTTGCTTCCAAGCTTCTATGTTTTTAAGTTTTTGAGTTCCTAGATTGAACTCCCACCGTCTTGGTAGAAAAGAGTCTAAAGGGGTACTAAAATTTTGCAAGGGGAGATATTGAAAAATTTGTGTCCACGTTAAAATATCAATGTATAGACGATAATTATAAATTTATGAAGAAAATAAGAAATTTTAAAAAAAAAACCAAAAACCAAAGGTACTTCCAAAATATCATTATGTCTATTTATATTAGTACAATTTTAAAATTTATGTTTATTGAGAGAGAAGAAAATTTATAAGTCTATTAAACATTTGCATTTTTCAATAACTAATTTTCATAACAAAAGATATAACTACATGCAATTTTTTCTTTTAAAAATATGTAACTTTTAATAAAAATTCATACCATTATATCAACATATCAATTTATTTTAGTCCTGCCAATATATCAATCAATTTAATAAATAAAACATAATTCATTTATCATTTTTTATATGAATTGGAATGGATAATACAAAATTAAAAAACAAATGCTTCGAGAAAATAATCACACAATTAAATACATTATAAAACATACATTTGGAAAAAAAAAAAAAATTAAAAACTAAAAATTTATAATAATATTTATTTGATAGAATCCAAAATAAATTTGATATTATTTTATATTTTTATAAATATTAATATATAATAAGATAATAATTTATTTTTACTTTATTTTATATTTATATATGCATTAAGTTGTAACTTATAATAAAATATAATATATTAAATAATTAAGATTATCACCTTTATTTTAAAATTATTATTTTTAATATATATTATGAGAAGTTTAAATAACATGTTTTTATTAGATAATTAAATTTTAATACATATCTGTATTACTTAAGATAATAGAAGTAAATAGTGGTAAGCATAAGTAGGTATAAACATGTAGAGCATATAATAGTTTCTTTTAGAACCTTCAAATCAAGTTTTAAGACACAATTTAGATACTTAGACTTTTATAAATGTGTAGTGTGGCTATAAAAACTTATATATTGTGGTTGCATTGAAAGCAACTTATAACTACACACTTAGGCTACAAGTCTTATGGTCCTTAAGAAGCTTTTGCTAGACATTCTTAATAGCTTGTATGTATGGAAGCAAAACCAAGGCCATCATCAATTTTGTAAATATATTTTTTATATTTCAAGGCTTAAATTAAGTCTATATAGTATCTTTGTACTTAAAAATATATTTTAAAATTCAATTCTATCTTACATCTATTTTTTTATTTACTTCTATTTTTATAACACAAGAGTATATTTTTCCTTCAAAGTTTTGTTGTTATTTATTTCTTTGAAAAAAACTAAATCATAGTTTTATAAAGATTTGTATTTTAAAATACATATTTTATATAATTTCTTTTTATAAAAGGGCTTATACCATGATTTTATATATTATTTTCTACAATCTTCTATAATTTGATTGAGATATTTGTCAAAGTTTAATATTAATACTTCCATTAGTTTAAAAACATATATTTATTTTTATAATCTATAATTTAATTACATACATTTTAAATAATAATAATTCTAGTTCTTTAAGTTATTAAATTGATTACATTTGAGATTACATCTTATTTTACAAAAAAATTGAATAAAAATCAAAAAGTTTTTTTGTCTTTAAAAAATATTATTTTCTCTTAGAAGTTGCAACCTACATCTTTTAAAAACCCATTGTTATATGATATTTTTTACATGGGTATCAACTACATCTTTTTAAAATAATAATATCTATTTTTAGAAATTTTATTTTTAAAATTTTTATTAAAATTTATATCACCTTTTATTTACATAAAATTATCTTTAATTAGGAGGATTGTCAAATTGACTTGCATTTTTTACTAAATTAATCTACCCTTTATATTAAATTGAATGGATGTTTAATTTTAACTAAACTTTTTAAATCCATAATTAACATTATCCTTTGTTTTAGTGATAATTAAATTTTAATAAGTTAAAAATAATATTTATTAGAATAAGTATAATAACTAATATTAAATTTTGGTAATGATTTAATAATGGTATAAATAATACTCTTGTCACAATATCAAATGTTAGTACTTTGACAAAAATTAATGCAATTTTTTTTGTATTTAGTTATGAACTATTAAAAAGTTTAAAAATTAAACTAAAAACTAATAAAAATCTAAACATTTCAAATTACTAAATCAACAAATGCTAATACTAAAATCTATAACATATGATGTCAATTTGAATAAATAAAAAATAAAAATAAAAATAAGTCAAATAGCTACCAAAAGTAAAAATTAGAAGTATTGTAATTTATTGATAATTTTTTATTTATTCTAATAAATTAAATCATATTAAATAATATTGATGAAAATATATAATTTTTAAGATTATATTTAGATTTTTTATTTAAGTTATGACAATGTTCTATTAGAAAAATAATATTGTTAAATTTTTAAAAAACCATGTAGTCAAATGGCCTTCATTAATCAATATAAATATATTCCTTTCTATCTTGTATATTATTTAATTTTTCGTATTTTTACTATAATTTAATATGGATATATCTATTAAAAAGTCTATTAAGACATTGAAGCATTAGTGAGTCTTATAGATAAAGCTTTTGTTGAGTATTAAAATTTTATACTTATAAAAAAATTATTATATTTTAAGTCTATATATCTTAAAATATTAATTAATTCTCAATAATTTTTTTTTTAATTTAAACATTAAGATGAATCTAAAATATGTTTTAATTACTAAAAATTGATTGATTTTTATAATATAATCATTTATTTCGGTATTTTTTTTTTGTTTTTACAAAAAAAATTATATCATAATATTATTACATCTTATTCAAAATTTAACAAAATGATGATTTTCGAAATTAATTTTATTTTTTTAAAATATATTTTTATTACAAGTCACGAAATTATAATGTTTCGATCATTTAAATTTATTTATTAAAATTTAGTATTAAATAGTATTAGATATACAAAAAATATTATGAGAGACCTTATCATTATAATTTAATATCATACTTTTACTGTTATTATTTTTATCATCATCATCATATATATATATATATATATATATATATATATAGTTAAAAAATACTTATATATTTATTTTTTGATCTATAATTTACTATAAAAAAATAAAATTTAAAATAGATAAATTTTTAAAAAGTAATAATATAGATTATAATATTTAGGAGAATGTTAAATATACCCATAATTTTACTAAATAGACCTATTCTTGATGAAGAATATGGTATTTTTGATAAATGTGGTTGGTTTTTTTATTGGTTGTAGATCCAATTGTGATAAAATGAATATATAGTTCATTATTTTTTTTTCATGATGGTTAGGATGAGTTGGTGGATTTAGAATCTTTTTGGGTCTATTTAATATTCCCCTCACATTTACTACCATATTAGAAAACATGCTAAATGTGATGGAGGAGTGATTGATTCTTACGTACAATATGTATGAGGAGTGTCTAGGCCTACACATAAATAAAGAGAGCTCTGGCTTTCATCCCTCGTTCATCCCAATTCAATGGGAATCGAATACCGTTCCTTTTCACGCGGGCGTGGGTGACCGTGGCATCGTGGGGGCCTAGGCCACTACGCTATGAGCTTGAGCTCACAAGAATCAGCAGCGCTGCAGTGACGACGAAGGCGGGGAAGAATGCAGTCGGGAATGAGAGGGATTGATCCTGCACCACGGCCGACGCAAAGCTCAATTACTCACTCCTGCAATAGAAGAAGAAGAAGAAGAAGAAGAAGAAAAATAAGATGAAATGGCGAAGAAAGAAGGAGGAGAAGAAGAACAGCAGTGTGATGATCTGAGCGAGTGAGTGTATTAATAGCGTCAACTTGCCATGCTCCGGGTCTTCTCACTGCTTTCCTTATCACCCTAAAGCGTAAAACCTGATGGAGGGTTGCAATCAGGGAAGAAAGATGAGATCAGATCAGGCCTTCATTACCCCCCGCATTACTACCATTATCGATACCACCAAGTTTCGAGTTTATTTTGTTCGCGTGTGTGTGTGTGCTCGTTATGAGATGCTCCACACGTCAACATGGGGTACAGAATTCAATACTTGATATCATACCCCCCCCCCCCCCCCCCCGGTTTTTTTCTTTTCTTATGGAGGATAAAAGAACCCCCCCAAATAATATATAATAAAAAGAGGGAAGAAGGAAAGATCCATGAGCTTTGCAATTTGTTAGCTGCTTTTATGGACAGGAGGGGATATTACTTTCTTGTTTTTCCTTTTCTTTTTCTGGTTGCATTTCTTCCTCTGCTTTGGTTTGGTTGGAAATTCGCAGTGTAGACTTCTGTATGAAGATGATGAAGGAGGGCAAGTTTGCTTTTTGTCCGCCACTGCAATCGGGTACCGAGAGTGGCTACGGAATGGCTCCATTCCGAAGCCCGCTCTGACACCCGCTCGCTATTCCTAAACTGGTTGGTGGGGGCGGTCCACACGAAAGATGGCACAAGGGGGCTGCGACGCAATACCAGATCAGGCCTTCGTTGTGGACCCAAGGCATGGCCACGCACAAGTGGCACTGTTGCAGCAGCCCTGCTTTAAAACAAGTAGTAGGTGTGGTATGATTCGGAGTGGAGACGTCATAAATGCCGCTCCCCGAACTAGTGCTAGACGGCGAACAGTTGCGGCTTGGGTTGGGGTCATGAGCGGACGTGGCTAGGTTTCCTGGAACACTGTTCCGAGGTTTTCTCCGGAAAGATGCACGCAGTGCGTCGCAGTGGGCTAGGGAAGAACTTTTTGATCCGTCGATACAGTGCATGAATGTGTAAATATAATGCTGGCTAGCAGACGCGCGAGCCTTGATGCACCCATGATGCGCTTTGGATTGCAATCTGCCCTTCCTCGGGTGCAGCCTCGGCAAAGCATTCAAACCCATCCCCTAACTTCATCCCTGATGGTGTTGCATTTTCTGTGCATGGTTGGGCATACCATAAGTAACTGTGAACTGGGTTGCGGACTGTAAAACACCTCATAGAGATAGAAATTTAGTTTTTTTTACGAAATATGAACAATAATAAGAATCAAGACTTAAAATAAAATAAAATAACTCCGTGAATCTGAGAATTCCGTGTAAAAGTGGGTTGTGAATTCCTGTTCTTCTCGTGAGATCGATTTCAAACATGTAAATGTTTGGAACTCTATCCTCCTCCAGTTTGTTGGCAAGTTGAGGACTCTTTTTGTTAATTGTGTTGTTATTGAATTTGATGCTTTGAGTGTTGCACTACTTTTCATTTTTTTGTTAAAGTAGTAGGATGGATACGATTAATGTGATCAATTTTTTATGAAGCAACTTGCTCCACTCGCTAGACATCATGGATTCAAGTATATTTGTGTGTTGAAAGCCGCCTTTTAAAATATAACATGATTAATACCTAGCAAGGCATTTTGACTGTAGGTTATACAATGTTACGGTTTGAAAGAAAATCAATATGTAGAAAATAGATAAATAAATAAAGACAATTATGACTCTAGAGATTAGTGATTGGTCGATGGGTTGATTTATTGGTTCTTCATCCGTATCTATAGATTACATCGAGTTAGTGCTAGTAAATCCAAGTGTATGAGTATAGGTTATTGCTCGCCATCTAAAGTCTTAGCTTGTGAATGATCACAATTTGTTTTCAACCAAGGGATCTTCTATGATTCATCTTTTTTCACTTGGATCAAAATGTAACAGAATTTGAACAAAGTCAATGAAAAAAACATATAAAAATTAATGTAACTTTCAATGTACGAAGTTATTATGGTCATGTACAGTTACTAATTGTTGGAAGAGATTTTCCAAGTATGTAAGGAAACATCAGAAGGTTAGCACAGTCGGTTCACCGTCTACTTTCGGAAGGCTTTTATCGTTAGCGGGGTGTATGCCAATGCAAAAAGTGAGAGAAACCATGTTGTGTTGTGCAACCAGGCAATAAATCCGAAAACGGTGGTGGGCGGTATTGGGCGATGGGATTAGTAGATTTGGTTTGGAATGATCCCTTCCTGTATTAGGTGCTGCTCGTCTTTTTCTCGAGAATACCTGCAGGTTTAATCCACCAATCTACCAAACAGAGCTTCAGTCTCGCCCCACAGAAGTCGTGAAAAAGTATATCGTGCAATCGAAGCCTATATATTGTTTGATGGTTTGGGAGACAAGAGTTGAAAGTCGTGTTGAAGTTGACACGGTGGATAAAAGGGAACTGATCACAGCACCTGGCAAAAGAGACCCCACCCCATCCTGTCACATAGGAATATTCCCAGGAAGCCTGTTCCGTGGGAAGTTCGGCGTTGAAGGAGTTGTGTGAAAGGAACCGCGTGATCTAGATGGATGGAAGAAAATCCACTGGTCTAGGTACTAGGTGAGACATTGGGGACCGGCGAAAGGGCTGAGGTGGTGAAGACGGGGGTGGGGGGGCTTGGCGCGCCAGCGGTAGCATTGCGAAGAGACTGCTCAAACAGCCTGGTGGGTTCAGCTGGACCTGCTCGACTGAGGGACCCGCACCATTGGCGATCTACAGCAGAGCCCCAAGCTTCCAAGTAAGCCGCACGCTGCTCGATAGCCCTTCACCTCCACAGCTAGCGAAGTCTGCAAAAGTGAAAGTCTCTGCTGCCTTGTCTGTTTTGCTGGCTCTTGGCTTCGCCAGGACTTGAAGTTTCTTCTTTCTTCGTCTACACCGTTATCACTTCTCCCCCTGGACCCCATTACTGAAGCCTGATCACATCGAGCGATTCTTTACGCTGGTTAATTTGTTGGTGCATGGTTCTAACGGCGGAGTTTGTAGCAGATTGGCACAAGGGGATCTAAACCAGCGAGGTGGAAAGCATGAGAGGTTCAGGAGTTGAATTAGATGCACGCAGTTGGGCAGTTACAGCACTGTTGGTGTACTCATGCGCTGGAGCACTCCCCCTCCGGAATCTCCATCTTCTACTACGATCATAGAATGGTGTAGTTCGCCACACAAGTTTTTTTTGTTTTTGTTTTTGGCGGCAGCTTTAAGTAGGCGAGAGATATTCAGAGGCCAGTTATTTCAGCTGCGCAATCGTGAAAGCCCAAATATTCAGCGAAGATGGGAAGGGTTAAGTTAGAGATTAAGAAGATAGAGAATCCTACAAACAGACAGGTGACGTACTCGAAGAGGCGTAATGGGCTTATTAAGAAGGCTTATGAATTGTCAGTGCTTTGTGACATCGATCTCGCACTCATAGTGTTTTCTCCGTCGGGGAAGCTTACACAGTACAGTAATTGCAGGCGAGTCCCTCAATTTTTACCCAATGAAACACCTTTGATTCTGCATAGCGATGTTGTACTAGATGGTTCAAGTGTAACCTAATGGTCACCTAGGAAGTTCAGAATCTATGAATAGCTCAGACTGTCATTCAGATCTCGAGGTTCCAATCTAGAGCATGTTTATCAGTATAATTTATCCACTTTAGATACGTTGGAGTGTGTATAACGACAAATCGGCCTGCTGTGGTCGAGTCTTCAAGATCAAGCCTTGGTCAAATTGCATCTCATTGTTACTTCGTTGAATATGGGGGTTGGAAACAGTATCGAAGATGTGATCTCTAGGTTTGCCAACTTGCCAATGCATGAGCGGAACAAAAGGTACTTACCTAATTCTTTTGAAGTTTAAATTCAGTTCTACGTTCTCAACGTAGGTTTGATGGTTTGTTATCGCACTTAGGATTTGAGAAAGATCTCCAGGCTCATATGTATTGCGTGTGGTGGGAGCAGTTTTGAGGATATGCTTACACGCTTCGCTAACTTTCATATGCATCATGATCGTACCAAATATAATAGGTGCGCATTCTTCCTCCTCTCTTTGTTTCGTTGAAACTTTACTGGCATCTGTAGTGCACTGCAGTGGTATTAAACAGTTCTAGTTTAGGTGTTCTTGATTGGAATGTTTCATGACTAATAAGCCATGGTTTGCTCTGTCGCCCACGTGCCTTGGCGGACTTCATCTCAGAAAAATCGAAAACTTGGAGGTCAGTTCTGATCTGTCCTGCAATTTTAAGTCATGCTTTTACCTACAAATGACGTGAAATTGTTGCAGAATCTTCGGCAATGCTTGAATGCGGCATTTTGTTGCGCTGAATTTAGGTTCAAACCGTGTACGTACACTTGAACGGTTCGATAGGGTTTTGAAGTCGCAGGGTTTTGGTCGTTAAGTGAATGTGTTGATGAATGCAGTATTTACACAAGTCATTGAAGAAATTAAATGGAGAAAAAGACTCCGCATCGAATCAACTTCTCTTGGGAAAGTAAGTAAACTATAGAATTTGAGTAACTGAAGCACATTGCAGCATTGTTTAGGTTCAAATATTTTTGGATGCTTGGTGGAGGAACTCTATCCTGGCTTTGTATCCTTTTTGACTAATTTAGGGTTTTGTTACATATTCTCTGCACGTGGACGACAACAGCAAGGGTTACGAAGTTGGGGTAGGTTAACACATGCCAACTTATCTCTGGATATTTCACTGGTCTTACTTTGGTACTTTGAGTTGCTCTACGTATCAGAAATTATCGGGCTGATTAGACCAGCGCGTTTTATGTGCAGTTATTACAAGAAGAATTGAAAAAGTCTCAGCAAGAGAAGGAGTTAGTGCAACAAAGAGCAAGGTTGTATCTAGCGGACGAGCAGCTTCTACAGAACGTAACTTCTGTTCAGCAGCTTGCGAACATGGAAACCGAGTTGGAGCAGGCACTCGAGCGAGTGCGTGCAAGGAAGGTACAGAGACGGCTCATCTTCGGCTTCTTATGGCATAAATTCATACTTTACATTTCTCCACATCACTATCTGCCTTAAGTGATGACTGCGGGTTGCTTACTTTCTCTGCATGTGTTTATGGTTTATTGCAGAGTTACGTGAGCAGTGCTTATCAAGTCTCCAGCGCAATGCAAAGACAGGTACAGAATTTAACTTTTCGTGAGTAAAAAAACTTCATTTAATTTAGCAGAATGAGCACTAGGCATGCAAACCCAGTTTCACGATTCCACTAACCCCTGTTATTGAATAATCTTTCTTCTATCAGCAACACGAGTTCCTAGGCAACAGCTATCAGCAGATGATGGTACTACGCCAACAGCAGGCTCATCAACATCATCATCAGCAGCAGCAGCAACAACAACAGAAGGCTCAGCATCAGCATCAGCAGCAGGGAGGTATTCCAGCAGCAGCACAACAGTTGCCATTCTTGCAGTGGAACGGCGCACAAGAGCGACCGGAGGCGACGCTTCAGGACTTCATGGAACAGCAAACTAATACTAGCCAGGCTATCGTGCCATCACAGATGTCTCGGTGTGTATTACCCTATTACGAACCCAACTGAGTCAGAGCATGTTTTGTTTAAACTGCTAGTTGTTCTGACCTGACCTTTACTTCATCTGTTTCTTTCCAGGGAAGTGGTGAGCCAAAGAGAAGTGAGTCCATCAAATAACGGTTTCTTCCCAGGCACAGCATCACAGTCCACTCTGCACAACCTGGGGCAGATCGGTCAGCTCGTGGGAGCAAACCGAGGAATATCAATGCATGACATGGCCCTGGAACAGCGTGGTGGTCAGCACGAGGAGCAAAAGAAAGCTAAGCTTGAAATAACGAAGAACATGGGATTTGCATCGTCAAGTAGCAGTGGAGGAGCAGCTGCAGAAGGATCTGCGGAAACTAATCTGAATCAAACCTTCAACAACCAAACTGAACAAGTGCATGGCAACGCCAATGCTTCCAACTGGCATCAGGCTAACCACCAAGCTCAGGCTTACATCAACTCTCAGTACCCAAACGGATTCTTTAATCAGGTATTGTTACTCGTCAGATTCATCAGGTTCAAACGCATGCTGATGCTGATTGATTTGCTTTGCTTCGTGGAGTAGCGTGCATCTCTCACGTCTGTGTTGTTGGCAGAACGCAGATGCGTGGAAATGATATACGCTAATTAATGCATCGTCACATAACAGAGGTAGGTCAAAATTGAATGGTTCAAACGCGGATGACATCAGGGATGAAGTGAAGAGAGAACACTATGCTCTTGCCAGTGGAGATTCACATCAGAGTATTTAAACAATTGCGTAACGAGATCACTCTGAAGAGTTGGCAGGGTTGGAGGCTTGGAGCAGCAATCTGTAATGAGACACATGTGTCTTCCTTTAGAGTATCATCTGTCTCATCCCGGATTGTCACTAGTATCATTAGCTCAATTTAGTGAAAATGAGACTTGAAACTTTACCTTAGAAAGATATAGCTCAGGTTAGCTTTCAGATATAGAATCGGAACTCGTGGGTGAACGGAAACTGAATATCAGTATTGAGGTGCAAACGTTGTGTACATGTTCAAGGCTTTTGGTGTGGGACAATGGCCCATGCCCAGTCTTTTGGTTAGAGTTGAACCAGCCTAGTAAAGTATTTTCTCATTTCACAATAAGCCGAGACATATCACTTGCCACTGTAAGTTAAATATCGTCGCTACTTATTATGGCTTCAAATGGGAGTGTGGTATTTATTCAGATTGGTATATCCTTCATTTCACATGTGATGAGATAAGATCTGAACTTGCTCTCTCTGCCTTCGAAGTATAATTTATTGGTTTCAACCTCAATGTGCACAGTTCAGATCTACCTCCGGTACTTCAGTTAAATCTTGAGAGTCGAACACAATTGACCAAGTACCTTAACATTCTAGAAAACTATATTTCTTTACATTAGCTCTTGAACAAACTAGATAGCATCTGTCTGACAGCCTGCTAAAACATCACAAATCTTACGAAAAGTTGAGCGAGTTTTGTCACATACACAAGCATAACCTCTGTGTTTCAAGTAAATACTCCAAGACTTCAAGTGCAAAAAACTTGCACTGCACGATGAGATGAACAGAATTAGTCTATTCTCACTGCAAAGCTGCCAGCAATTTTGACACTAATTGACACCAGGTGCCATCTTTCACGCCTTTTTGCAAGCTCGCGAGCAGCGAGGGAGGAACACTTAGTGCCGTAAAGCGAGGACGTCAAAGCCGGCACTTTGTCAAGATCCAGAAGCCTAGTAGCAAGATGCAACGACAAATGGCAATAAATGCATCGATAGAGAAGATCTCTTCCCGTTCTTCTTCCGGAATTCTCTGCTTTGTGCATGAACTTGTCGGCTTTTCACCGGTGATCCATAAAAAATTCAGCATTGAACTTTATGCATACTTTTGAAGTAAACTCTCCAGCTGCATCAGAATTGTTCTCGCTTGATGGTATCCTACTCGATTCAAGAATGTGGGGTCCCATGCTCCCCACTCTATTCGTTTGCATAGTATCCTTTTCGATGGCTGTCATAATATTGGCTGAAAGTCGTAATCCTTTCTTCCAAGTAAATTTACAAAAAAAAAAAATATACATAAATCGTTCCAATACTAAGTGCTAGATATCAACCAATCTTCAGCGAAATTGATAGCAAAATTCATGCACTACTCAAAATTTTCTTTGGCACCATGCGAGTGATCTATTCTAAGGAGCGCAACATTGTAGGACCGAGATCCCTGTGCTAGGTGGAACATACTCAAGAGTTTTTATTTTATTTTATTTTATTTTTTATAGTTCTGCTGAAGGCCACCGAAAAACGAAGAAATGCCGATTTCGGGTTTAAAAGTCAACTGGTTTTGATTGGTTTCCAAGATTTTTCATCCCACGCCCGTGTGCCCACCACTTAATAGCACATTCAGACAAAGAAGAATCGAAAGCACCTTATTGTACTCGGAAATTCTGAGAAGGGAATGTTGTCTGTTTCCGCATAAACTCTTGCAACACAGTTTCCAAGTCATTTTCTGATATGTAAGCAGCAGGTTGCAGTAATCGTTTTCTAAAACTTTAAATAAAAAGTCATCGCTGCCTAATTCACGACATGGAGTGTATACCAAGGATTTATTTTCGTTTTCTCCCATTTAGCACAAAGAATAACCCCACAACTTCATGCATACGCAGATGTTGTGAGACAAAATTCTAAAAAAGTTTTATTTTTTGTTTGCATCCTTTTCAAATGAACTTTCAAAGTGTGGTCACTAGTCTGTGATTATGAGTTATGCGTGAGATTCTACGTCAATGTCTCATCCATCTTTGTTAAGCGGAAATTCCCTCCAAGACATCTTTGTTTTGATGCTTCAGCGAACAATTACCAACTTTATGGGAATCATCTTTGTAGATGTTTTCAAAAATTCTCCAATGTCCCTTAAAACATGTCAGAAAACCCTCGTAGGGTCTATGAGCGCCAAGTGTCGGATCTCCAAAACACACTTGAAAACAAATAATTTGTACATCCAATCACGAATTGGTCATGACCTGGTAGGAGTTTCAATGCAGGCTTCATCTACCATTATAGTTCAAGTAGATTAGAATGCCCCTGAGGTTACAAACCTCATTTGCTATTGCACACCTCTAAATATGGGCGCTGGCCAGTGCATCCATCACGCAGATTAGAAGATAGGGAACACTTCCATGTAGGTGGACGCCTAAAAGAAATCTAGATGAATCCACACGTTGCATGGGTTCCTGTATATTTTGTTTCATGTGCAACTTCGCTGGAATCCGTCGAAGGAAAGGGGTTTGCACACACGGTCCAGGGAATCGCCAACTTGCAGCACTCATGCTAATGTCAGAATATGAATTCGTTGCGGAATTGAAGGATGTAAAAATAAGGATATGCTTGTGTTTCTGAAAATGCCGCCAGGTGCAAAGCGGAAACGAGGCATGCCCCCCGATTGACACTCCAGTTCCTCACACTATCACGCCGGCTTAGCTTTTGTCCATAAAAGCGGACCCGAATATTGCGTATAGAAACCTTTGTGTGCACAACAAACAAAAGGGGCTGTGGCAAATGGGATCTACCCCCTGGCTCAGTTGAAGTCACTAGTTCATGTCCCACCGGGGGAAGAATTGCAAAGGATAAGACTCCACACGAATCGCATTTACATATAAAGTGTGAATACGTTAAACATTTTCTCGTCAGGTTTTTTTTCTGGATTTTTTTTTTTAATGGAGAAACAAAGCAGTTTTTTCATTTGACCCCTAAACCAACACATAGACTTTGCCAAATCACCCGTAAAACACATTAAACCATCAACTTCATCCTTGTAAAGTTTGCCGATTATTGATAGACTTGGACTTGGAATAAATTCTTTTAGAAAAATGGTTGATATTGGATTTGTGCAAGGGCAGTTTAGGGTAAGGTCTATGGATTGGTTTAAGGGCATGAAATATTTTAAGGTATTTTGATGTAATATATATATATATATTTTGATACAAATGGTGCCTACCTGATGCAACAAAAAACACAAGTTTGTTTTCGTGAAACAAAAAAATGTTCATAATCCTGACATTCAATAATGATAGCTATATAATTGATTGGATTCTATTCCAATTCTATAAGTCACTCCAAGTTTTACCACTATATCAAAAGGCATTGGTTTGCTCATGAATTACTCAAAGATAAGAATAAAAAAACAAACATATTGTTTTGGACATTTTTGATGACATCATAAATAAAAATTAGTTTTTTTTTTTGTTTTTGTTTTTTAAAATTTTATTCTTAAGAAATAAAAAAAAAAATCTAAGATATCTAACTAAAGAACAAAATTTGTCTAATTCCAAATAAATTTAGCTTGCATTTTAGTTGACAAGACTCCAAATTCAATCTAAAAATTAAAACCACTCAATAGAAGTTTATCTAATTATAAAACTTTAAGAACATATGATTGTACACATGGCACAATGCTTGCTTGAAACATAAAGAATAGATTTTGCAAAAAACTCTCTTTTTAATAAACAAATATTTATTTTTCTAAAAAATTAGAATGCCCTATAAATCTCTATATATCAATTCTATATTGTTTAAGAAATCAATTTCTTGCAATATTAACTACATTGCAAAGAAATATTTCATAGTGAGATAATTAATATATTTTTTTATATTCCTATTTACTTTCAAGCTCCTAGTTTGTATTCATGCAACTTTCATCTCTTCCATATTTAGGCCTACAAGCTATATTTAAGTCTCTTTTACCTTGAGGTTGTAAAAAAAATTAAAATTTAAGATGATCTATTGCCAAAAGCCTTTGAATTTAATGAAGATATGTATGTATTTTTTTTTTCTTCCAAAATTTGTCCTTCTAATTGTCCATTCTAGAAGTAAGTTTGTCCTAGCTTTTGGCTTAGATACAATTCTTGTAATAGGATATAGATAAGATATTTATATATGGATAGATAGTTCAAACCATGGAAGTTTCTAGAATTAGGATTAGATTAGTAGACCAGATAGGACCCACTATGGAACATTCTAGGAAGAATTTAGAATGGTTATTTAGATGGGGCCTACCATAGAACCTTCAACAAGAAATTTAAAGAGATTATCTAAGTGGGATCCAGTACCAAGGAACATTCTAGAAAGTCGAGGGTGGTAGAACAAAGTATATATAGGACTAGCCAAGGCCTTTTGGGGTATTTACTTAGATATGGCTTTGAACCTTCTCTCTTAGTATAGTTTGGTTTTGCATCTTCCTATTTATTTTGGTTTATTTTATTTCTATTTTTCCTCTTTTGCCTTCTTTGTCCCATTCTGTTTAGTTCTGTTCAGTATTGTTTTGATCCAGTTTGTTCTAACTAGAAATGAGGTTTTATGTTGTAGTAGATTAGAAGGATCTTCGACACTTGAGATAGACTAGTTATGTTTCAATTCAAAAATATGTGAAGCATTGTCTTTCAAAGGACCAATATACAAAAATTGCACAATTTGTTTTTTTTGTTTTTTTGTTTTTTTTTTGTTAAATGATAACTTTTAAAGATTTACTATAAAATCCTTACAATAAATCAACAGAGGTAGCAAAACTCCTTTCAGTAACCTTAAAATATTATACTTAACATTCAAATAAATCTATTATTTAAATTTAATCAAGTAATAAAGATTTTTTTATTAATAAAATTATTAATATTTACCTAATTTGATAAAATAAGCTATAATATTAAGTTTATATATATATATATATATATATATATATTTATTAGATATGTGTAATAAAAAAATATTTTAAAATAAATTAATTTTTTATTATATATATAAATGGCTTTTATCTTTTAAGATCTATATATATTAAGTTATATAGAGTATATTAACGTGGATATAATATTTTTTTATTAAGTTATTATATATATATATATATATATATATATAAATTTTAAGATCAATATTACTAAGACAACCTTCTTTAATTAGTTTTTAAATATTTATTAAAAATTCTTTTATATAAGTAAAGATTTTAATATTTTCTACAAAGAATTTTTTATAATTTTACTTGTTCTTTTATATCTTATCTAGATAGAAATAAAAAAAACATAATATGAATAAAAAAATATTATTTATGATAAAACATTAAAAACATAGAAGTGATTATCTTAATACACTTTTTGATCACTTCTTCTTCCATACACCTATCCATTCTCACTTC